GGGTCGGAACCGACTCGATGGCACTTAACAACAACAACAGACTCTACAGTCTTCGAAGGAAAGAGTTATTATAGAAATGGAATATCCAGGAATAAAATCTCAGAAGACAAGAGAAGAAGGACAATAGCAGAAGGAAGGTGCATTACTGAGACAATAGAGAGGAACTTTTGGAGGGAGAAAAAAATATGAGAACATTTGATTGGAGTCGTCTCTCTAACTTTCCCTGGCTGGTCTACCAGAAGACACCAGTCTTTAAAGGAACTATTTGAAATTGGCAAAATAAGACGTATTACCTTTACGCCACCAAGGTAAATATGTAGGACAGGAAACGGAGACATTTCCCGGAGAGGAATGAGGCCAGCACACATATTTATCAAACGTCCCATTACAAAATATACCTGTGGAGAGAGGAGAAACAAACTAGTTGCTATGGAGTTGAGTCCAATTTATGGTGACCCCGTGTGTGCAGAGTAGAACTAGGCTCTGTATGTGAATGTGCTGGACTGCAAGGTCGGTTTGAACCTCAAGGTCAGCGGTTCGAGTTCACCAGCCACTCCTCGGAAACCCTATACATGGTTGCTATGAGTCCGAACCACCTCCACAACACTGAACAACAACAATGACCTTTCGAGAGCGGATGGTTAGGCTTGTCTTCGGAGGCATCTCTGGGTAGGGTCAAACCACCAACCTTGCAGTTCAAAGTCAAGAACTTTTGCATCAGCCAGGGACCACTCTGCAGAAAGGGGTCTAAGGGAAAAGCAGTGTTTGAATACAAGACTCACAGACACAGAAAGTAGCAGCCTGGAAACTGGTAAGAACTGTGCAGGGACCAGACAGATAAGGAATGCATAAAACAACCCCGGACACCGTGACTTTGTCTAACCAGTGCGACCTCCGGCTGTGGTGTTGAAACTAACATCAATGTGTCCATCACACTGACTTTGGTTTACTTCGAACTCTCACAGAAACTTGGGTTCAGGAGAACACTTGAAGGTTCTGCCTGCAGCCCTCTGTTCCTTCCTGTTATTAAGTCGAATTGGTTCTGATTCACATCCACTCTTCATAGGGCTTCCAAGGAGCAGCTGGTGGGTTTGAATCACAGATCTTGTGTTTAGCAATCCAGTGTTTATCCTACAGCATCACACCAGGACTCCTCTAGTTAACTAAGCAGTTATTAAACTTTCAGCAATTTAATCCCAGTAAAACTTTACTCTGTAAAATATGCAAAATGACCAATGGATCTAAGGTCATCTGTGAAATTGTTGAGGGTTTTAGACACATATAGCCAACACAATGGGACTTCTCGCGTGGTGTTGTAGGATTGGCACTGGACTGTGAACTACAAGGTCAGCAGTTCAAACCCACCAGCACTCCTCTGAAACCTTACACAGGGTTGCTATGAGCCAGAACCGATTTGACAGCACTCAACAACAAAAACAATCCAACACAAGAAATACCTTGTCATGTTTCTCTATGTGAAGATGAATCCAACAGTCATTATGAAATATTCAGACCATGTCAAGCTCAGAGGATGTGTTATACCCAGCACTTAGAACTTCAGACCCAGCCTTATAGATTTGGAACAACTGAATGAAGGGCCTATTTCATGCTGGGTCCCAGACTTGATATGGCAAATGCTTGATCCCAAGGAGCAAGCATCATTCCCCCCACCAGCTCCCTATTAGTCTAAACCTCAGGGTCACTTAGAGTGAACATACAGGCTCATAGCATTCAAGCCTCTGCAAATGCAGCTTATACAAGCTGACTTGGGGCACTTTGAGGAGCTGGCTGTGTGAGGTGGGTGCTCAGCTAACAGCATGATTCCAGAGGTCACTGCTATGTTGTGACCTCAGAAAACAGTCTTGTCTAAAGTGAGAGGTGGCTCTTATCATTGATAACAAGACTTGATTGTCCCTGTCTGGGATGAAGGGATCTTTAGAGAGAGAGGGGTATGGCATGAAGCCTGGGATTGTCTTTAGGTCAGGCCATGGCTTAGAATGTTTTGAGTCTCCTGTCAGCCTCCAGGCCTCTGAATATAAGGCTCTGGAAGAAGCAGGGAGGGAGCAGTCGGGGAGCATTCATCCACAGTCCTAATGCTCAGAGGCAATGGGGTAAGGTTTCTCCTCCTTCCCTTTTAAGGTGAGCACACACCTCGAGGAGCATGTAGAGTCACCGTATGGGCAGAGAGGCCATGGATGATTAAACTGGACCACAAGATTGGTCTGAACCACAAGGTTGGTGGTTCAAACTCACCAGTCACTCCTTGGAAACCCTATACAGGATCACTGTGAGTTGGAACTGACTTGATAGCACTCAGCAACAATGGAGTCCTGGTGTGGCACTGTGGTTAATGCACTGGACTGCAAAGTCAATTTGAACTGCAAGATTGGTGGTTCAAGCTCACCAGCTGCTCCTGGGAAACCCTATAGAGGGTTGCTATGGGTCGGAATCATCTCAAAGGCACTTAACAGCAATGACAACAGTAAATTGCTCTAAACTTAGGGCAACCTTGGATAATGGTGTTACAGATTCAGTTCACACCCTGGGAAACTGGGAAACAACCTTCTCCCTTCCTTCCACAATAACCCTTTGCAGATACATTAATTCCCACTCATAACAACCCTGTAGGGCAGAGTAGAACTGGCCTTGAGGATTTTCAAGTCTGTAATCATGTTTGGTAAGGTGGAGGGTCAAAGAAAAAGAGGAAGACCCCCCCCCAATGAGATGGATTGGCCAAGTGGCAGCATCGATGGACTCAAGCGTGGCAACAGTAGTGAGGTTGGCCCAGGA